TGCCGATGAGTAGGGATGCCTTCAAATTTAATGACGTGGAATAAGTGATACATGTATCTTATGTTCCATAATAAACATATTTTATTTATTTATTTTTATCCGATGAATATCGATAAACTTTCGTCGTTGTAAGCGATATGTCGCTGTATCCGATGTTGTTATAAGCGGTTTCTTTACTGAATAGTTTACTAGGGATTCGGACGGGACCATACAATCTGGTTGTAATAACCGATAGGTCGTTGTAAACGATGTCGTTATAAACGGTTTTGACTGTATTATTATAAATTTACAACTATTTAACATCCAACACCTTTTGTCTTCCGTCACCGTGACCATGCACGCTGTAAAGCACGCGAAACGTAGGATAAATTTAAAATTATGTTAAATAGTTGTAAATAAAAAGTCATGTTCGACTCCACTCAATACCTTGTCCTACTGACCACGGTCGGTCGTAAAATTTTATTGCTTTAAGTACACTGCGTTGTAATAACAACTTTAAACAATTCGCGTAAGGTTGATTTTGCAATAATATATGCTTGTAACTTATAGAAAGAGACAGAAATAGTGTTTCGGGACACTTTCGAGCGTTACTTTTATTCGAGACTGTGCATCTTGGGTTTTTTGTATATCAATGCCCAAGACCTAAGCACAACACCAAATGCTCATCACATCGATGTTTGTCTCAGCCGGGGCTCGAACCCGGGGTCCATGGATTCGCAGTCAGGGGTACTAACAACAAGACCAATGAGCCGTCTTAATGGTAGTGTAGTATGAATTTACAGTAGTATAAGGCAAAAGAATTCCTTACAGTAGTGTTGCCAGATTGTTTCATTGGATACAATTTTCTATAGTTTGCATTGAATGTATCCAACAAACATGAACATACAAACATACAAAATCTAAATAAATAAATTTTTTTTCAAGATTCTTCATTATAAAAAATCATGTTTTTCAAATAAAGAATTACCAATAATTTTATTTTTTATCTCTGGTCTATATCGATTCTGTCTAATTTTGGACATTTAAACCTACCTGACACCATTGTATCCAGTTGGCGCTATCTTTGGATCCCATTGTTGCAATCTCCATACTGTTTGATGACGACGCTATGATTAGGTTCCTGTAAATTTAAACTTGGTTAAATTCCAATGTTAATTAACAATTAAATTTAAACTTGGTTAAATTCAATTGCTAACTAACAATTCATGGCTATCCGTATATTCTCACGATTGACGACATTATAATGTAATAGACATTATACAACTCAATCCTGTATATTTTTTCTCGCTCGGGTAAATAAGTGAGGCGATTACATATACACATATCGAATATATTAAATAATCTCTGTAGCTTTAAGCGCATGGGCCAAGATCAGGAAGTTAAGGAAGCCTATCTAATGCCGTGGTCGAAAACTAGTAGGTCGGTCCAGGTACCGCGGTAATTGCCAGTAATTGGTGGGAATTGGTTTCACACGACAGGGATCACTGGTTTCTCGTAGAGTGGGTATAGTTGGCCAATATGCGACCGTTATTATTTTATACGAAAATTTATTTATAGCAGCCATTTTATTATAAGATAAAAATATCCAGGATCAATATATCTACAAAACTATAGAACTCCATTACGAAATTATATTATTGGATAGATAAAAACCACAGTATTTGGGTTGTACTTGCTATTTTACTATGAAATGTGTAGTTAACCCAAAATTATTATTTTATGGATTTTCTATAAATTTTTCTAGCATTTAATGGATTTTGATTGAACATACTTAGTTCAGTAAAATTCTTTGTGACCGACTAAAAACCAAAGGACACACAAATATATCACAGGTTTATAGTGAATATATATAAATATATTGATTCAAAGAAGCATTTTAGTGGGGGATATAAATGTTAGCCTAAATGAAAAATATTAAATAAATTAGAATTGTACCATTGGGATAGTCCTTGTAAATAGTAAAACCAGGGTCGGTTGGAGCCCATACTGTAGCATATATCTTCAAAGTTCATGCATGAAGGTTTTCCACCCTTTGGAGTGTTTACAATTGTGACCACTGAAATTATACACAAAATATATTAAATTAATATCAGTAGAATTTACTTCCATATTACCTTTTTAGACAATAACACCACCTTTACTTATTTTGACTCAATCAAACCAGCTAAAAACCTTTAAAGAGTCAGTATTATTTAAGACAGAATTATTGACGGAAACTTTTTAGAAAGAAAACTTCCCTTAATAAAATATTAACTAAAATGGAAGAGGGGAAGGAAAAAACCTATATAGTTTGTATTCAAACTTGAAGGTAACTTCCAACTGTTAATATTTTTCGTTTTCCTTTGATTTAAATAAATATTTATAAATCTTGGTTTAAAAGCATAGTTTTTGATATACTCATTTTTGTCCAGTGTATGTTGACCAGCTGAAATTATTGCTGTCTTTTGATATATTTTCTAACCGTTATCAGATTTCAAAAATATGAATCATGTGTTTGTTCAAATCAAATTCAACTATATCTTACAATAGTAAGCCTGCTGTTATCCAACACACTGAACGACGATTAATACCAATTTATTGTCAATGTATATGATAAAATAAAATACCTGGTCGGCTATTATCAGATGCATTCCTATATACAACTGCAAATTGGAAAGTAGATATCCAGTAAATGGCAAGGGCCTCGACAGGTGCTCCTTCAAACAAGTTTGGTGCTGGCATAGACTTCATCGGAGAAAGATCAGGCTTGTACTGGCAGAGAGTTCCGTCAGCATTACCAGTCACAAGTTGCTTACCCTTTGGACTCCAACACATGCACCTGAAGTTACAAAAGAAAATAAATTTTTACAACTGAGATTCTAAACATCTTTAATTTTAAAAAGGAAGGCAATGTGCGTTGCTTCCCAAAGTCAGTCCGACTCATTATATATAATATTATGGTTAGGGCCACATATAGACTACTTAATCGAACTATGGGGAACTGCAGCGCCTACAAATCGTTATAAAATACAAATTATGCAAAATAAATTATAGAAGACATTATTCTATTACGATTATTTGACTTCAACTGAAAAACTATACAGTGATACCAAATTTATGAGTATAAACCAGACATATGTTTACAATACCTCAATTTTAATATGCAAAATTATTAACAAATTAATTCATAAAAATCTATCCTTTAAAATTTATTTTACCTTGCATTTGATTGTATCTGTTTTTTCTGCATAGTGTTTACTTGGCTCACTACTAGAGTGCCATCAAAATACACTAAGGCAATTGTATCTGGGATGCAAGGATTCCATTGTATGGATGATAGAAAAGTAGATGGACTTACTTCGCATCTTATTTGAATTGAAGGACCTACAGCCTGAAAATATAGAATATTATTTGTATTGTTGTACTTCTACACTAATTCCTTTATACTATATTTATGTATCAATAATCTTAATTTTTTTTTACACACAAATCACCCACAGGTAACCTAATAATTTGAAAAAATAACTTTACCTGCATATAATTACACAAAAGTAAACAACCTCAAATAGGTAAAAATTATTTAGCTTAGACTTACATAGTTAAACCTATTTGTAATTAATAAAGTAAAACTTTGTTAATTGATTGGAATAGTTGTCACTTACAGGATTTTGAAAATCAGTTATTTTATAAATCAAAAGCATTTGGCCTCCAACCACAGCTAGCCATTCTTGATCACAGTTTACTGCAATATGAGTAGGTTGTACTTGAAGATTTGTTGACAAATGTCTTGGCTCAGATACTGGGTCTATTAGTTCTTTGATGGTATAAGCTGTAAAAAAATTTATATGGTAATCAAGGTTATCAAGGAGTAAGCAGTAGAAAAAGCAAATATAATTAAATGCCTTACCAGACAAAACACCCTGAGGAGATGCAACAAAAACAATTCCATACTTGCTTGATGTAGTAATTAAATTATATCCACGATGAGGTAATGAATTAGACGTATTAAACACCTTAACTTTCCGTTGTAGTTTGTAAAGCAAATTCTGAAATGCCGGTAGGTTATTGCTAGTTGCTTTATAAGCTTAATATTTACATAAGGCGGCAGCCTGATGGCAATATTTAAGTTCCTTACCGATTCATCTACAGGATTTGGTCCAAACTGAACTTCCATCGTTATAGGATTCGCATAAACTTAAACCCCTCCGCAAATTTAAGCTAGACTATTGGAGAAATATCAACTAATTTTAGTTAATAATTATTAAAAGCAATATAAAAATAACAGTTTCTTCTTATTTATAGATTACTAGTCGAATAACTTCCAATTTCTTTGATTAATAATAAGTAATTGTAGTAAATACCATTTCATGAAATTCTTTAAAAAATTATTTAACAACGATTTATATTTTATACTGACATTGACTAATATCAATGAATGACAAAAACTTCCAGATTGACAGCGGCCCGATATATAACTGTCAGCAGTCAATCAATGACCACAGAAACGATTTTTCACATATTGTAGAATAAAAGGGTTAAGTAAGTTATACTTTACGCCGCTAGGCTGAGCTACGCTCGCCAAAACAGCCCGAGCTGAGCTGTGAAGGCCCTTAAGGCCAACAGCGAGATTCCATACAAAAAAAAAAATTACGCCGCTAGTGTACTTAAGTTTTACTCTACGTCTCTAGTATTCGTGGTCGTATTAATACTGTAATATAAGGAGTTTATTATTAACTTTGTAGGTGGCGTAAATTTATTATTCTTATTCTATTTTAAGCGTTAATTGACTAGGAGAGAAAAAAAAAACAAAAATTCTAGAATTGCCTTATTACATTTGCCCATAACCCAAATACATAGAATACAATATATTATCATACAGTAAACAATTTTAGGTTTTAAGGTATCTAGTACTTAATTAACAGAGTTTAACTATGTATATTTTAATGTAGTTTTTGTTCTAAGACATAAGAATCTACTTTGTACCTCACTTATGAAACATGTCCTAATTTCTTCACTCTGTTTTAAACTGGAAATCTCAAAAACTTCTTAATAAGCCAAAGATGTACAATTTCAGGAAAAGGTATTTTAAACAAAGTGTAGTAAAACTTGTAACGCCAAGATTCCACTTTGTATTGTAATTTTGGATTTTCTGACAATACAGCTTTCATGAAAGTTTCGATTAAGTTTTCGTCTTTCATAGCATCGAAACTAGGTGCCTGTACATTTGGACACAGATAATTATTTAATGTTTTGATTTTGGTTTCGTAAATCGGTTTTTGCTCGTTGTTCAAATGTTTTAAGATTATTTCTTCTTGGCTTTTCTGATTGGCCATGAGGTTGCTGATACTAACGAATCCTCCTGCAAAGAAGTGATGTTTTAAGGTTTACAGAAGATATAATTATTACTTTGTATTACGATAAGAATAGCTAGGCAAAGCACATATTATAGCGACGTCACTTAGATAATTGTTACTGTCTCAACGGTCTACTGGTTTAAATTTTCGCCTTCAGATCACGAGCAATGATAGCCCCAAATTAGATAGTTAGTTGGCTAATAATGACAGATTGCATACGCTATGATAGTGATCCATAAATAAAGTTACTAACAAAAAATTATTTTTTAATTAAATAAAAACCTCATTGGAAACAAAAAATAACACACAATACCTGGTATAAACGCCGCTACACTCAGCCCGGTACCAAAATGTTCTAGCCGTAGAGCACGCGTCCACGCAAGCAAGCCTGCCTTACTACCGCTGTACGGGGCAAAGCCAGGCAGTGGCTGCAGACCGCAGTGGCTGGCGACGTTAATTATACGAGGTTTAAAACCCTGCAATTACATATAAATTTTATAACCCAAATGTGTATATTAATTGCTTTGTTACATTAATGGGACAATTTAATTGTCGTTGTATTAAAAAGTTGTTACCTGTGATTTCGTTTGGGTAGAGCAATGATAAGTTTTTATCGCATAAGGGTATTAACATAAAACACAATACGTAAATAAATTTGAATTCAATAGTATGGCAACACATGCTTATTATTATAATCTTATTTCGAAGGTAATATTAACATATTTTTTACCTCGGAAGCATTTTTTCTAAGCTCAGGTAGAAATGTTGACACCATTCTCATAGGACCCATTAAGTTTACATTTATTGTATTTTCAAATATTTCTGGTGGTTGCACTTCATAGTCAGCTATGGTCATTACTCCAGCATTGTTGATCAGGGCATATAATCCTATATTATTATTTATTTATTATATTAGTATTATTATTTTAGGTGAGAAGAATATAGGGTGTGTGGTAAGTTTAATAAATTTTCCCCCAAAATTGATCCCTTCCACCTATCTTACTCACAGATTCGCAGAGCTATCCTTTCCAAAAAAAAGAGTCAGTGTACTTATGTACACGCGTTAGAAGTTATACTTTTTGGCGTATGGAAAAATAATTTTCAATTAACGATGTAAATACATACTGACAATTAACCTCAAATCTATAAAAGCACTCAAAACAGTTTATTCAAATCAGTTTTATCACTTATATTCAATATATAGGTATACATATACTTATAAATAATAAATTATTAGTAAATAGTAAATACTATCACCGTCGTATATGAAATTGATTTAATAAAAACACCAAAATAATATTTATTTATTCACACTGTTTAATTGTACTGTTATGAAACACGTGTTCCAAATATAAAAATACTAGAATATACAACTTGAACATAGTTAATATCGATATGCCACCTAGAACTAACTTTACGATGTAGAATTTAGGTGTCGGTGTGCGCGCGATCGTAAAAATTCATTCTCATCATTTTTCTCCATCGCGCCAAAAGAAGTATTACTTCAAAAAACTTGTCATTATAACTTATAATTTATATCTCTCGCTTTTAGATAACATATTTATAGTTTGTAAGAATTCTGTTAACGATAGTTATTAAGTATAAGCATTGTGATTGCTTTTTTATTGGATTTTTGTGTGTTCCTAAGTGTAACCTTTATTGTAATCTCCTTTAGTAAACAATAAATAAGAAGAACCGGGCAAAGAGAGAGAGAAATATAATTGATATGTTCGAAACTTATCGTTTTCTAGAATTTCCTGTATAATAGAGATCATAGGTCAGATTAAGTCCAGGCTTAGAGATAAGTATGATTTCCATATATAAAATACTTATGAGACACTTGCACTCAACTTTGAATATCACCCTTAAGTTTCTTTAAACGTGATTAATACGACGAATGATAAGAGTTAGTTCGCTCAAATATTATTGTATCTTATTTATTTGGAATTCAATTGTATCTAACAATGCATCCAACACGGCTGTGGGTACAAGCATCTAGCACCGCTGAATAAAATAGCTACGCTAAAGCAATCAAACTATTTAATCAACTTTCCACAGATTACAGAAAACTACCGTATTATGCATACAAGGGGAAAGTGATTAGATTTTTAAAAACTCGGTGCTTCTATAATGTGAGTGGAGTTATTAGATTATAAGGTTTGACATACTAACATAGAATATGACATAACCAATATTTAATTGCTATTTACTATAATTTGTTATGACACAATGCATCATTTAATTGGTATTAATTATAGTTTGATATAAGTAATTGCGCGGTTTTTTAATTCAACCATCATAACATGTAGCACTTTCAAGGCAAAGAAAGGATTTATTTATAATTTATATAAAATGGAAAAAGAATAATTATCACAAAAACGTTAGTAGCATAATTTTTGAGAAGAAACTTACTGTAATTGGGATTTTTTTCTAAAAGACATTTAACATAATCATAAAAATTGGCAATGCTTTCGGGCCTCGTCACATCCAATATATGAGGATGAGCACACAGGGCTCTCAGGGCTTTGGAAGCCTCGGTGTTCGTGCCCTTATACATGCCTGTAACAAAATTTATAAGGGCTATAGTTTTATCAACCGTTGCAGTGTCATCTCTGTCTAGGTCTGTCTAGGTCTAGGTCTAGGTCTAGGTCTGTAGCTCCAGGAACCGCGTACCTAGAAATTAATAAAACTTGAGCCGCCTAATCAGCTACACGTTCAATCACAAAAGTAGCCGCCACCGGCATTAGTAACTATTATTACTGGTATATTAGTAACTATTATTACTGGTATTGGTAACTATTATTACTGATATTAGTAACTATTATTACTGATATTAGAAACTATTATTACTGGTATTAAATATAACAAAAAAGTTACTGATGTCGGTGACGGATAAATAAAAAAAGATTTTTTAATACAGTTGCTCAAAAAGTGGCGTATTACAGGGACGTATATAGCGTTCGGGATGTGGGCTATTACACACTCGTGCTTTTTTTACCTTTTCCGAACTAGTGCGTTTTCTTTCCCAACTGTCAAAATAATGTCTATTAAAAAGAAAAACCAACCACGAAGTTTTTACTAAAAAAAATTCATAGAAATTTTTATGATTCATGCAAATATTTCTAAAAAGAAGCTACTGCTTTGTTTCTGTTTGTCTCCTTAAATTTTATTTCATATCAATAAAAAATTGTACTGAAGACTTGGCTGTATGGGCATAGTTCCCTTTGCCTACCCAGAATGGGTGAAGAAAAAAAAATCTGCTTATATTCTTTTACGGTTGGCGCCATTTTCCAAAAATGTTCTTTGCGCGTTTAGTTGTTTGTTATATTATATATTAAATATGTATACATGAAAAATCATACGAAATAAATAATAGTTTGTCTCAAACAGTAATTAAATATGCAACCTAAAACTTCTCCAGTTAGTATAAAAAACTGTACCAATGTATATGTGAACAATAATTTGTATAAGAAATAAATGATTAGTGAGTTGAGTTTATTGTTTTTTTATTATTTTATTAAATTGCATAATTTTTTCGCAACTGTATTAAAAATAGTTGTTCAGTACACGTGCGGAACCGTCATTGCAACTTGTTCCGACTGTCAACCCTCACCTTCGGCTGCGCCTCGGCTCGGGTAGGCATTTGTCGTAACTCTTTGCAATGACAGGCTTTCCGCACTTGTAATGAAATATACTATTTTGTTTAGATTTAATATAATTTTAAGGAAACAATTTTGTAAAATAAATGATCAATCTATTCATAACTTCTGAGGGTTTCACTTTTCTCTCACCGAGCACTCTCTACAGGTCCAATTAGAATGTTAATAATCCAGGCCCCCATTTTACTTTATTACAATATGTGGTCTAGCCTTTGGAATTAGGAATGTATGTAGACCGTTTTATTACCTATTATTAAGTTGTTGCGAACTATGGTGGCTATATCGAATAGTGTTACAACAAAAAATTCAAAGTAATATTTATAAGTATTGCTCTGACATAGCAACTGCAACCAAATATAAATAGTGCATAAGTTTATTTTATGTGCACGCTTATTAATGTATTACATAATAGGCGTGTTTATATTCTAAGAAACAGTTTAGTAAAATAAATAAATTAATAAAAAAACACAATCTGAAACAAAACACGGCCGACCTTTAATTATAAAATGTTGAACGTTTTACTAGCACAACTTGCCTATTTGGTTGAGTATGTTTTTATCAAGATTATTTTCCACAATCTATGTTGTATTAATGAATCTCCGTCAAGTTGCTCTATAGTTTTAGTTTTCGCGTGACACAAACATCCATCCATCATCACAAACTTTCGTTTTAGCATTATTGTACAAACTACCAGACTCACGCGGTTTTAATGGCATTATACGATTATTTATATAAATATACGTTTTTATATTTGTTTTTGTATTTGTATACACACCTGCTACTGTAACAAGACCTTCCCGAGCTAGTCGGGCCGCTAGTGCCCAGCCAAGGCCGCTGTCACATCCTGTTATGGCCACAACTCGAATCCACTTCATAATGGACCAGGAATCTCACCTTACAAACATATTCATATTACACAGGCTTGGCTCATAAATTATTTAGTCCATTGAAATGTTACATTTGATGAACATTTGTTAGAGGACGCAATTTTATTTATGGAATATGTAGGGGGGGTCAATATAAGCTTAAACCCAAGTTTGTGGGCTTGGCTTTATAACTTTTGAATTTTGGCTTTATGATAAAAAGTCACACAGACATAATTGTAGGCATAGCGATTTGCTACAAAATATATTTTTACAATTTTTTTTACGATAGATAGTTTAGGAGATATATCTCCTAAACTATCACACGTTTTTGGCTATAGCCAAAAACGTGTTTTTACCCCTTTTTCCAAGATGGCGGCAGGAGAACAAGGGTGCCAACCCCACAAACTTGGGTTTAAGCTTGTATTGACCCCTCTACATATTCCATAAATAAAATTGCGTCCTCTATCAAATGTTCATCAAATGTAACATTTCAATGGACTAATTATTAAAACAAAAATGGGGCGGCCGCAGGGCAGGCGTAAAATAATAAACAGCTCCTTTGGAGTAGAAACACTTGGGCCGTGGGGTTCAAGTGCACAGGCGCTGATTAAAGATTTAAGTTGGAGCCTGGTAGATAGTAACGGTGACCCCAGAGCTTTCGTCGCTCAAGGAATTAGTATCGCAATACAGTGAGGAAATGCTGCCAGCGTATGGTACACTGCCACAGGGACCAAAATTTAAATTTGTTTTAATTTTCTTTTTATTAATTTTTAATTATTTTTATTATATCTATGTAGGTTAATTTAAATACTGTATAGTTGATTGTTTTGATTACTAATAAAATTAAATCAAATGGTAATACTTACTATTCGAACAATGCTTGAGACACAAAAGTTGAAATGATACTGATGATCTTGACCCAGGCATTGAGCGTCAGGTATCGTTGCATATGAATCAGGAATTTGTAGGAATCACATTATGTTGCCGCTAGTATCAGTATGTGTTTTTAAGTCACATTTAAAATTTTTTTTTCTTTGTTAAAGTGGGAACCATAAAAGAAAATATCTATCTAAGAAAATAATCTTCAATAATACATGATAATGTAGGTAGATCAAAAATAGGTTATATCCCTTTTTTTGATAAATGAACCATAAAAGAAAATATCTATCTTAGAAAATAATCTTCAATAATAAAGTTACTAGTGATAATGTAGGTAGATCAAAAATAGGGTACCTATTTTAAATCTACCTTCAGAGAATATTGTAAATAGGATATTTGTTGATGAATTAACAATCATTTATATTATCACTTATAAACGTCACTTAAGCTTAAATTAGCGTCCATTTCGGAAACGCGGTCTAATAAAGACTTAAGGAACTTGGTAGGATTTCTTTTCTTTGCAATTGTTTATAATTATGTAATATATTAAAAAAATGTACTTAGTCTCTATATAGATAAAATGTTCGTTCCCATACCTACTCCTCCGAAATGGCTCCATCGATTCTTATGAAATTTTATATTCATATTCAGTAACTTTGAGAATCGGCTACTATCTATTTTTCAAACCCCTAAGTGATAAGGGGTTTCCACACCAAAATTTTACTTTTATTTTTTAGATTTTTTTTTTGTTTTTATTTTTTTATGTTACAGTATACAAAAATACGTATAACCCCTAATTTTCACCCCTCTACGATAAACGCCTATTTTTTATTATTGTAGATAGTTATATTTATTGAATTAAAAAAATGTTTCCTAGAAATAATATATGTACATGGCAAAACAAACGTTTGCCGGGTCAGCTAGTATAAAATAGGTATGTTTAACTTAAGCGGATCCCCAAATCGTGTCTGTGATGTAGTAAATATTTTAAATTTATTTAAACATAGTTCTCGCTTGAGCTATAGTTTGTTCCATTCAATACTGAAAATTGGGGACTCGATTTCCGATACGAATTATTTGAAATGATTCGTCCTACACTCAACAAAGGCGTCAATAAAAGACGATTATTTCAGCACGAATACTCAATCGGTATTACTGCTTATTGAACGGAAGCCTTGTATGCCTCACTTCACCTGGGATTGGGCCCAATTTGGGTAGGGTTACAGGAAATACCGCAACTGATACATCACACCCTTATCCAAAAATCAATCAAGCCGAATAATTCAAATAGAAAATTAATCTATTTCAAGTGCTACTCAATACAATATCTTACAATTATACTTATAACACTGCCATATATGCAGAAATTTACCCTGAATAGTGAATACATTCTTATAATTGACAAGATTACATTTCTGTAGGTTCATATTTTACATACAAAAGTAGAATAAAACAAAAAAACACTTTTCTTTTTTCTCGAGATTAACCTCATTCAGGATTATTTGTTTTTTTTTATAGTATAGGGCCTACGAGACGCCCAAAATGGGCAGTCATCACAGCCTATAGACACCCATTTTGGTGGGTGCGTTGACGGCCTTTGAGGAAGGAGTATACTCGTTTTTTAATCAATTGGATGTCATATCTCCCAGGGAAGACCCCCACCGGGAGTTGTTTCCACAGTTCGGTCATTCGATAACGTACATGCCTTTATCATTGAAATATTACAAGACGTATAGTTGTGTAAAATGCATTTTGGTTATGTTAATTATTTTTAAATTGTCTATTGAAAGCCATTTATATTAAATTATCATGTATAATATGTTGTCATTAAATCGGCTGTTTTAAATATTTTATCTTAAATACCTATTCCCTTCTATACTCAATTCTTTTCAATCCCAAAACTCTCTCTTATCTTAAAAATTAATTCAAATTCTTAGGTTCTTATAACTATATGTTACGCTTCTCTAATAGATGCATATGGAAATTCCATCTCACTGCTTATCCTTCTTAGGCAATTCTGCCCGACTCCATACGTTTGGCTACCTCCCTAACATCTTTTAAAACTTTTCTGCATAAACATTTCTTAACAATATCCTACCCTGCTCAATCTTGACTTTTGTAATTCTTGTATTTCTTATTCTTTTGTATTACATCGCAATTCATGAACCCGTGAGATTAGCTTTTTAGTTGGTTTTATGAATAGTTTTTTATAAGATTTGGTTAAGCACTTCTTGCACTTTACCCATCTTATTTTTTTTTTAGTTTTTTCCTTACTAGAGTTGCCTGGGAGAGATCCCTCATAATTTTAAAAACGATGTAACGAAGTGTGAATAAAAACATAAAATATTTGTGAACAGCATGAACATTTTAAGAATGTTTAAATGTCTTAATGAAGCTTTTATATGTATAAAAACTAAAATTATTTTCCAGTTAAACTAAAAATTTATCCCGTTCTAAATCGCATTTAAACGAGTGCCATTGACAACTGAAAAACTATTCTATTCCAATTTATTTGCAAACGTTAAAACAGATTTAAAATGGCTCGTTGCATATTGCGTTCAATGGCTAATAACAAAACGCATCGCTTCTCCCAAATTCTGAACACTTTTATATGGAGACTGATATTTACTGTGACGCATTTTATTTATTTCAACTTGTACCATTAAAACGAATGATGTTCATATCACATCAGGAGATCCGATATGATACTATAGATAAACTATTATTTAGCAATAGTGAATAGTAGTTATATATATATATATATTTATTGACACTTCGTTACCTTAAACACATATGACATACATAAAAAATACAGGTTACGTAAGTTATTAGGCAATGGGCGGCCTTATCTCTAACAAGCGATTTCTTTCAGGCAACTATAATATGGAAAAATAAAAAAGAAACACCTACAGAAGGTTAACAAGGTAAGGTACAAGAAGCGTATAAATAATTACTTAACAAAAAAAGAACATTAAATAAAATGTAGCACTAACTATATCTAAATTTTTTGTTTTAAAAGTGCTACTACTTACTAAAGGAACTGAACTACCTATAAAATGGTAAAAGTGCATAGCAATGGTTTGATTAATTAAATATATTCTATTTAAAAAGATCTACATTTCGTTCCTCACATACAAAGCGCCAATTTCATATGTAAGGACCATAATAAAGTACACGCGTTTAGAAGTTATACTTCTTTGGAGTAACAAGCTAAAAAATTTTTTTAAATTTTTATCTTTCGCCTTATTCTATGTTTGTAGAAAAAACTATACTAACAATAGAAAAAAGATATTAAATACTTTGAAAGTTTTATTATAACGCATTATCTAGTTAAATAAAGTTTATCTAAATATCACAAAAAAATTATTTCTACATAATTAAAGAAAAATACATTTTTTATTTTAAAATGTTGACTATGCTAACTTCAGGGTGTGACGGTGTGCGGGTGTCAGTTTTTTATGGCGGTGTGCGGGTGTCGGTTTTATGTCACGGTGTGCGCGCGCATCGTAAAAATTTACTCTCATTATTTTTCCCTAACGCGACAAAAAAAGTATAACTTCAAAAATTTAAAAGTTATTATTTAATCTAAATATACAATATTCTTTGGGTCAGGGTCGATTTAGCACTACGTATCACTTCTTAAGTTAAATACGGTTTTTGGGAAACGGAAGTCACGATGATGATTAGGCCGTTTATACTGATATATTTCATAAGATTATAGATTCATTTTGGTGTTATAATATATCACATCGCGTGTCTTCCACATATCCCTTCCGCAGTGGAGGCCGGGAGTAATACTTACCTTACCTTACCTTAACTTAGAGTTTAGACTCGACTCTCAAACTTACCCTTCGAATTATTAATCCTAATATTGTTAATATTGTTTGTCAAAGTCTTATAACCAATTGGGATGTGCAGTCATATGTTTGCGTCTGTAAATTTATTTCGACAAGTAGGCAAACTTATTCCTATGACACATCGTCGTTTTTTGGGTCAAAGACATACCGAATTCCTTACGATGTTTTCCTTTATTGAATTGCCCAATGCGGTGCTTATCCGGGGTTTTAACTGCTGAATTAATTTGCGTGAGCTTAAGTAAAAAGTAATATATCCATTATTTATTAGTAATA